TTATTTTGCCATTCTCTAATGGCCATTCTCCTCTGGCCATTTACAACAGCATTTTTGTTTCCTGTTCTTTAAAATAAATTTTTAAAAATGTTTATTTGGTATTAAGAGAAAGCAGGTATGCAAGTAGGGGAGGGGCAGAGAGAGAGGGAGAGAGGGAATCCTAACGAGGCCCTGCACTGACAGCCCCAGTGAGGGGCTCGGGCTCGTGAACTGTGAGGTCGTGAAATCGAGAGTTGGACACCAAGCCAGGCGGGCGCACCTTTAAAATCATTTTGTTTGAAAGAGAAGTGTTGGCTTCTCTGAGGGGTGTCTCTGTTAGGCAGAGGCGAGGTGCTACTCTCTTCAGGCACATTTGCTCATCCTACTCCTCAACTCTTCTGAGAGAGTGATTCTGCTCCAGCTCAGGAGCAGAGGCTGTGCCCTCGCTCAGCATCAGGGCAGAGCTGCCCTCCAGGTACATGTCACGATGATCTCAAACTCACTGTAATGTCTTGATTTACCTAAAGGTTCTTTGAGAGAAGTATCTATGAAGGGCTGTTTGAGCTACAATGCTCGGTCCACTCATTCTTCAAGATTATCACTGAAATTAACAATGGATGAACAGGAGGCCAGCAAAATGCATACAGAGAATACTTTGTTTTACATTCCTCTGATCAGAATTGTTTTTTTTTTTTAAATATTTTTTATTTATTTCTAGGAGAGAGAGAGAGAGAGAGAGACAGCGTGAGCAGGGGAGGGTCAGAGAGAGAGGGAGATACAGACTCTGAAATAGGCTCCAGGCTCTGAGCTGGCAGTCAGCACAGAGCCCGACGTGGGGCTCGAACCCACGAACCACGAGATTAAGACCTAAGCGAAAGTTGGACGCTTAACCGACTAAGCCACCCAGGCGCCCCTGATCAGAATTGTTTTAAATAGTAACAATGGTAATGATAACTGTTTACATTTATTAGGGACTTAAATGCGCTTAAATGTGACTCCCAATACTCCTGACGACCTGAAGAGGTACGAACATTTCCATCTTACCGACGACGAAATGGACACAGACAGGTTGCACAAGACGTTGTGCAGCTATGACAGAATCCAGACTCTTTACTCTGACATCATGCTCTTGGCTTTTACTGAAGGCCATTGTTATATTTACTATGAAGGTATTTTTGAAGATGTTACATTTTAAGTACCAACCTTACTTTTTGCTTTATCTTTTTTTTCCCCTATCCAATTTGCCTTTAAAATAAATCATATTATGGTATCTTTTGTACCTCTGTGTGTAAACAAGTTATATTTGGAACACAGAGGAATAGGTATAGATTTAAAAAAGAATAGACAAAAAGGAGCACACATATTGTGATGAGCCTTGAATAACGTATAGAATTGGGGTTGAATCATTACACTGTACCTAAAACTAATATGATACTATTGATTATACTTAAATTAAAAAAATAAAAAAGAATAAACAATCATGAAAACATGCTAATTTACAGACCAATGTAATGATGAGTTAGAACTCAAAGAGAGGATGTTTTACATAGAATCATTCAGATCAACATTATCCAACAAAAATATAATATGAATTACATATATAAATTAAACTTTTCTGGGAGTCACTTAAGAAAGAGGTAAAATTAATTTATATTTTATTTAAGCTAAAATATTCAAAATATTTTTATTTCAATATGTAATTGGTATAACATTTTTAATAAGATATTTCACATTCTTTTTTTTTTTCTGTACTCAGTCTTTGAAATCCTGCATGCACTTTCTCCTACAACACATTTCAGTATAGACTAGCTACATTTCTAGTGCTCAGTGGCCGCATCTGACTAGAAGCCACCATACTGGACAGCACAGACAGTGATGGGTGGGGAGTAGAGACCACAGGTTTTGAATCCACCTAATTATTTTTTTGGTGGGAAACGAAGGTCCAAGAAATTGCCAGAGCCTGGCAAAGTGAGGGTGAACACTTGGATTCTGGCCCCATGATTTTCCACAGTTCATACTTTTAAGGTGAATGCAAATTCGCTTCCGTAAAGGAGTTCCATCTCCCTTCTGGGTCGATCACCCACACGCCACCATCTAGCCTTGCTCTAAAATACACACGACTGCTCACAGGGCTTCCCATTCAGTAACTCAACTGGGAGTTTCTCACACAGGGCTCCAAAGCAGGCACTCCACTGACATCAGTGGCTACTTTCGCTAGAATTAGGACAGTATTTTATTTTACTCTTTGGTGTGAACAAGCTCTGACAACCACATGCTTCCCGCTTCTGTTATCTGCTCTACTGCCTATTTAAATCCGCGTTCACTGAGGACACATGGGAAAAGGATAGAACCAAGCCATATTTCTTGTAGGGCTTATTCATTATTATCATTTTTAACCTTATCTATTTGTTTCATGTTGCTCACGTATCTGAGTCACTATGTCTCCACAAGCAATACAATAAAATAAACTCTTAACTCTTGAAGAAGGAAAAAACTAAGACCAAGGGCGAACTTAGCACAGTCTTACCTCTTTAGAGTCTGACAGCCTCAGGCTACAACTCATTGCATGACCTCAGCAGATTTTTACAGCCTAATAATGAAAAGCCTAAGAGATAAGATTACTAACTCAATCCATGAATTATTCCCTCATTTTTCTGCGAATGCTACATGGAGGTGATGAGTTTATTCCCAGTCCTCCACAGCTGGAAGGGGACCCCGCAGCTCCTGGGCTGGTCAGCCACCTACCTGCAGGGACCCTGTGAAACCAACTCAATTGCATTAAGATCCTACAGGGCAGGAACTCCGCTTCCTGCCATATGTTTTAAAAGGTTCTGGGCCCATCATCAATCTCTATAGGAGAACACAGACTGTCATTAGATTTGATTAGCATTAACCAATTACTGCGACAGCTCAAAAAGTCATTTTTTGTGACACAGAAATAGTCCCTCTTCTTCCAGGATTGCATTTCTATGAATTCCTGTCAGCCCTGTCAAAACTTTACCATAATTACAGATAATTATACATTTATGATTCCAATTGAAAATGATTTTGTAGCATTGGTATGTATGTAAATACTTGTGACCACCGAAGCAGAAAGACTCCAGAGTTAGTATTTTAAAAACGCAGAGCTAGTTGGCTGCTGGTTCAAAAGCTGGCGTTAGCTGTAGCGATGGCCCACCCCTGACTCCTTGCGGTTTGCCTAGAGAAAGGTGAACACTCGCCAACAGAATAAAGATTTGTTTGCTTTTCACCTCGACCCTGTACAAGGGGGTGGGACCCTCTGGCCACTGTGATGAAATTGAGCCAAACCTTCTCTCCACTGCTGGATGCCTCACTTACACCCCTTTTAGGGCGGCGCCTCAAGGTGATAGCTAGGGACTGTCTCAGAAGTCCAGGGAGCAAAGGGACTGCAGTGTTACTGGAGAAGTGTCCCGGCTTGTCTCCCGTTGTGTATCTGGGCACCTCTCTCTCTCTCTCTCTCTCAAACAGCGTCATTATTTATTGTTTTTTTTTTTTTTTTATTGGGAGTATATATTTGATAGTTTTCTATTCTTAATTTTAAGGCACAGAGTATACTTTTCTATGCCTCACTCTGAAACAACACAAAGTTTAATTGCTTTTGCGTTGTATCATCGACTTATTTTTCCCGAGACCAGTGTCCTCAATGCAAACGGAGCTTTCTGTCCTTTCTCCAGCATACAACATTAAAAAACAAAACAAACAAAACACAACAACAGACTAACACAATTAACATAGGAATGATCTCTTCTCACGCCTCACCTACTGTCCTACAGTCCCAGGAAGAAGGTACAATTTCTCACCAAGTTGTTTGCCAGAAAAAAGAAAAAGAAGAAAAAGAAACAGCAGAGGACAACCTATAAAACGGATAAGTGGACCCTAAATGATTTTACGATTTTTTATTGTTAGCATTGTTTCTTCCTTAGTCTACGCTAATGAGATTATTCACCAAATTTCATAAAGAAATTTACACATCATTAGATGCATAAATAACTGGAGGAAAGACAGCTCGACAGGAAGCACAAGCCCTGTTGCATAGTTGTGGCCAAATCAATTAAGTGCTAGGACAGGGAAGTTCCTCATAAAGTCTGGTATTATTTATTGTCTGCCCTCCCCATCTTATTATAAGGATCAAATACAGTGATAAGTGTAAAACTGCTTTGTAACTTGCAAATAATAATTATAGACAATCGTTATCTTTATTATTAGCTTTAAATATCAATGTGCCAGGTACCATTTTAAATGCTTTGTATGAAAACTCACTTAATCCTTCCGCTACAGTCATTAGGTAGCTACTGTTATTTACTCTACTTCACACGAGGAAGTGGAGGCAAACGGGTTAAATAATTTGTCCAAGACGCTAGAGGCGATAGCTGGGAGAGTGCTGATCCAAACCCAGGCAGTCAAGCTCCATGCTTTATTAATAGTCTCCTGATACAAATCTGAACTTAAAATGATGTGATCTCAGAATACAACTGGGGACACTTGACAGCATGCGTTATAAAGCTTACTTCTCTACAGGGAAGTCTTTGCTGAACAAGCAGCAGAGTTGGTAGGGCCTGAAAAAAAGCAATTAAGCAGCTAAGTCCAGCAAGAGACGAGGGTCTTTCTTACATGCGTGTGGACAGAACAATCTTGAAAGACAACAAGGTTCTTAAATGTAAAATCATCCTTTTTCAGACTTAACAAAAAGAGGACTCGTGCTGTGGGTAGCCAGGCAAGCCCCCTGAAATGTGCCTGGCTGACATATCACATGGATATACTGATGCTGTAGTTGGATAAACATCTACTGAAACTGAACACATGACTGTAATTCTTCAGTTAAGCCAGTGGATATTCCCAAAGCCAGTGGAGGTTATAACTGGGGCAAGGCAAATATAAGCTGATTGTGCAATTTCCTTTTCGTCTCACTTCTAGGTAGATCGTCTCAGCTCACGGATACTGACCAGTGATTCTGGTGAACAGTGGGAGGGGGCCAGGAAGTGTAGATCACCCACCCGTACCTGCTACCTGGAGGAAACCTATTGGCTTCTTTTTCTTTTTCTTTCCATTTCTTGCCCTTGTTGGAATTCCTTCGCAAAGGTGCCCTATAACAACAGCACAAAGTCAGAAAGGGGATGCTGACATTTTTCTCTTTTAATCCTTCTTTCACAGAGGGTTCGTGTTTTACGTCATGAAATGCTTACCCCAGGTCCACAAACTTGCGCTTAATTTTTCCTCCTTGCACCACCAGTGAACTGGATGCCCTTAGTGATTTGGGATCTTTAGCACCATCTAGGATATACACAGATGTGAAAAAGACCAATAATAATTATTTTTTAAGGCTAGGAGTCCAAAGTCAGTGCATCTCTGAATCTAAAGAGTTTACTCCAATTCCAAAGTATAAAAGAAAATATTGTATGCCTTTTTTTTTTTTTTTTTTTTTAAGCCAGAGGAAACACAGCTACATTGAGAAACATTCAGTTAAGCCAGGAGAGGTCCTGTTGGACAAAGGCCCAACATTCATCACAAAGAGTTTTTGGATTCAAATAAATTGGAATGAACAAAGTAAGCAAGAATAAACACTATCAAGTAATTCTTTTTTAAAATTTATTTTGAGAGAGAGCACACAAGCAGAGGAGAGTCAGAGAGAGAGAATCCCAAGCAGGCCTCATGCTGTAAGCATGGAACCCAATGTGGGGCCTGAACTCATGAACCTCGAGATCATGACCTGAGTTGAAATCAAGTCGGATGCTTAACCAGCTGAGCCACCCAGGCACCCATAATTCTTTACATTCAAAGCAGGGACCAACATGACTTTCCTTTTGTTCCTTCTCTGGCTCCAACCCTGTTTCAAATGTCCAGGCTCTCAGGGAGCGTGGGTGGCTCAGTCGGTTAAGTGTCTAAGTCTTGATTTCAGCTCAGGTCATGATCTCACAGTTTGTGAGATAGAGCCGCACATTGGGCTCCATGCTGACAGAGCAGAGCCTGCTTGGGATTCTTTCTCTCCCTCTCCCTCTGTCTCTGTCTCTCCCCACCTCACGCACACGAGTGCACATGAGCCCCCCATCCTGCTCTCAAAATAAATAAATCAACCTTAAAAAGAAATAATGCCTGGGCCCTGTCCTTCGTGCCTTTTCTGCCTTTGGATTTGGTGCCTTCTGACAAGAACCCAGCCCACTTCCCTCATATCTCCCAAGTCCAGTACAGAAAGTCAGGCCTGAGAATCTGGGAGATTCAGGGAGAAAGTGAGAGGCAAAACTTTCCCTTCTGGTCTCTCCCTTGCTAATGGCCTATGGCCAGTCTGGAACTGAGGAGGGCAGAACATGGGGGAGACTTCTTAAGCTGGGGCTCAGCTATAAAACATTTGTATCTTTGAAAGGCTTCTCTTAGAAGACCGGTAGGAGCACAACTTGGCTGGCCTCCTGTGATGTGGAAGATGCCAAAATTTCCTCAGTGTTTGCTGTTGAATGATCTTTGCTTCTTTGAGTTATGCTGGCTCTCAAGGGCAGCAACTGCTGGGGGATGGGAATACTCAAAATGATGCCAAGTCCATCAGAGGAGATGGCGTTCAATGTCAAATGTAGGAGTTCAATTCCACAGGTGGCACGTGTTCCTCCTTGAACATGGTAGATAATTCGTAAGGCTCTAACGATTTAGCAAAGGATGTGGTTGAGTGTTAAGTTTCAGCATATCCAGTCATCTGAGATGATTAACAAGGGGCGTTTTAAATTTGATGCATATTGGTGTGTGAAACTACTCTTTCCTAATTATCTGTTGGTGTCTGTCTCTATCTTCGTAAAATTAAAAATATTCCAGCAATTTTCTGGTGTGGAGTGTAGAGAGAATGGTGCTCTTACAGAAGTGTTTAATTAATCTTGCTAATTAATTTTGCTTATAATTGTATTTCAGGAGAAATTTCTAAACACACACACACACACACACACACACACACACACAAAACACAAAGTGAGCACCATTCTTATTTAGAAGTCTATGTTCAAAGCTCTAAAGAAGTACAGGATGTTTACAAACTCTCTTTTTAAGATTTTTAGCAATGAGCTCTTCATATTTTTAGTTAATGATCCTCAGATTACAATAATTCCTTGGAATGTACTTAATGAAACAGAAGGGTCAGAGATATGTCCATATCAAAATCCATTGCTAGCCTCAAATATTTATTATGAATGTTTGCATCATTACCCTGGGTGATGGGATTGAATAGCCACAGATGTGAGATATACACATAAAGGAAATCCATGGACAAGGCACAAATGCCTTCTGAGGTGATTTTGCTAATGGACATAAAATTTTAAAAAAGGAGGATTTCGATTTTCTTAACAGAAGCCAAAGGGGGAAAAAGTGCCAGATTCCTTCAGATCAATCCTAAAGCAACTCTTAATGGCTAGGACTGTGCAGTGTTGAAAAGGAGACTGCCTAATTATTTTCTGAATTAGAGGTAGCAGGGAGATGTTTTAACGAGTGGTGAGAGGACCAGATGAGACAATGCACACGGAAACATTCTGTAACCTATTAGTGTCGCAGTTGTTTGGGCATCTTGGGACTAAAAGCCTGATTCTGCCCATTACAGAGCCTGCTGCCAGGCAACCTCACATCATTATCTCACACATTTGCCAAACTGTGTTCCAAGGAACACTTAAATGAAGGCTTTCACAAGGCTGAAGAGGCAAGATTAAGTAATAATGCACTTCCCTATTTTAAATCAATCAAATACATCTTTAATGCATATTAGGACTTCTAGTCTACATAGAAATCAACACTTGGTTGGTAGGATTGCAGGGAAAGAAAAAAAAAGTAACTTGTTTTTGATTATTTGATTATTTATTTAGCTTTATGCAAAATCTCCATTAGGCTTTTTGAAATCTCTCCAATACTACCTTCAAGGGCAATCAGAAGTCTGAGCGGGGTTGCGTGCTTTAAGCTTTGGCAACCTGGCCTTCACTCTTAAAGCCAGTGAATGATCTACTGGTGGCTACATGCTAAGTAAGGCCTTTCTCATCTTGTGCTGCATTCTCCTTCCTCTCACTGCAGTAAGATTCCTGACTACCTCTTCTTTCCCTCTGGGGACTCTCCAGTCTGCTCCCCTAGCCCAGCTTCTCTCCTGGGCCCACGACCTTCTTTATTTGAAATATGAGTTAATTTCTTCCCCCAATAATATTTCTGACTCATTTTCTGTTGATGACAGGACCATATTCTGAAGCTAGAAACCCTGTGATCAGCTCTGTCTTCCTCGTTTCCTTCCCCTGGGTCTGCGAAACTCCCACTCCAGGGCTTCTTACATGGCTCTCTCCTGCCGCTGTCTGCTGCTCCTCTTTAGAAGTTATCCCTCCCAGGGTCTCTTGACTCAACCTCCCCATACTTGATGTCTTTTTCTTTTTATCCCTCTGTTCAAACGTCTGTGGTTGCCTAGTAATATGGCGAGGTATCTACGGCATTTAAATTATACAGCTAATGACTTAACCTTCTTGTTCAATTTTGCTGCAGTCATCTACACTGCATAAGCAAACTGCTTCAGGCAGGCTGGGGCAGCCCCATTCCTTTCAAGCCATCTCCTGCGTGCCTGTCTCTGCTAATGCCACTTCCCTGCCTTATCTGCCCGGCTTGCCCATCCTTCCCCTCACCCCACCCAAATCCTTCAATGGTCACTCTCATTGTACGTTCTTGGTCAAGTCTTATTTACCAGCATCAGCTAGATGTAACCTCACCCCTCCTCTGACCAATGATAGAATTTACTATCCCTACTATAATGCCTAATGCATTATATCTATAATAAATGAATCCTGTAAAAATTTTGCAAAGCCAGATTCTACTTGCAAGAACATTAATTCAGCCAATATATTTTTTTAAGCTTATTTTATTTATTTTGGAGGGGTCAGATAGAGAGAATCCCAAGCAGGCTCTACGCTGTCAGTGTGGAGCCCCATGAACCACGAAATCATGACATGAGCCGAAAACAAGAGTTGGGTACCTAACCTACTGAGCCACCCAAGTGCCCCAATTCAGCAAATATTTTTGAAGATATCTTCTGTGTCAGGCAATGTGCTAATAGCCCTGTATAAACTTCAAGTAATAATCTCTAGAAATCACAAGCAAAACACTGATAGTGCTTAATATAATCTTTTTAACCTTAAACAAAAGCCCAATGCTATGAAAGTTTAGAGGCCAAAATGTTACTATTAGGCTACTCAGAGAATGAGCATGAAGAAAATATTTTCATGCCTTCTACTGTTATATAACTTCTTTTACAAATCTCTGGAAATAATCTTATACTTCTCTTGCTCTAAATGAAGTGGGGTTAGATGTTTATCATTTATCCAGTTACATGGGACTCTTTATACCCCATTTTCCATTGAGGTCCCTCAAAGATGACAACAAAATGATGATTTGTGAATGTGGTGTTGACACAAGTTAGAAAACACCCAACTTCAATTAGTTGTTCAATAATACCTGCACATTGTTAGCCTTGAGACTGTAGTGAAATATAGCTGTAACTTAATAATTTCCTTGTAGTAAATAAATTATTAGACCAAAAATAATGACATATTACTTTTAGAAAAATCTAGCCTAGTCTCTAGTGACAACCAGAGACTAAGATATTTTCAGAGTTTATCCGGCAACGATGAATAGAAGGAAAATAGAATAAATGCGTAGACCAGGGGTCAGTGTGCTTTTTCTGTAAAGGGCCAGATAGCAAATGTTTTAGGTTTGGGGCTATGCAGTCTCTGTTACAAATGCTCACCTCTGCTAACTGTAGCATCAGAGTAGACAATACCTAGCTAAATGAATATGGCCATGTTCCAGTAAGACTTTATAAAATCAGGTGAGGCCCAGATTTGGTTTGATAACCTGCACTGGTTATCTGGAGATGCATGCCTATTAATTTATTCAAGAAACTTATGAAGCATCAATTATACTGGGGACCAAGAACACAAAGAGGAAAGAGATGAATGAGAAAACCAGCTCATCCTTGACAACTAGATCATCACTTACCACACACACAGTGATAGAAGTGGAAGTTAACAGTGGGAAAATTTCTGTGGGATCAGAGAGAAGTGAATAATTCACTGTGCCTGGAAATGGGTAGGGTCTACTAAGAATCCATTAAAGGAGGTGTGATTTAATGTGGGTTTGGAGAAGAACACAATTTCCCAGGAGTAGGGAGTTAGGCAAGAATGTAGACATGAGGTCTTGCCGAACCTCATTCTAGCTCATCTTCTGATGAGCCAATGAGTTATAAGAACCTCACATGTAAACGCACACACACACACACACAC